TTTAAAATGAGACATTTTTGAACTCAGTCACTCCTTCTGAAATTTCTCAAAACTTTTAAGGTAAAAACAGAATTTTAAAAATGTCAACTTCATCATAGGAAATTTTGCAGGTAATATATTACTGCAAAAGCCTTCTCATTTGTAAATCTGTTGGCTATTACGTGACTGATGGGCTGAATTTTAGATGCACACCTATATTTTATACATTATGATAAACTGCAATCATTTGCTTTAAACAGTAAGAGTATCAACAAGTCTCTATTTAACATGTGCCTTGCTCCAGCAGTGTAAACACATAATGTTTAACATTTCAGGAATGTAACACCACTTCAAGGGTACTTCCTTGTTTAAGGGTATGACATCACATTGTAAGGACACATAACCTTGTGGCCACAGTCAGGCTCAGAGTGAAATGGTATCTTTAGATATGAAAATAAACATTCAACTGAGAACATAATTGGTTTTCTGTGTATTATTCGGGCTTGGGCTTCCAATCTGAACAATTCTTTAAAGTTTTTTTTAATCAAACTAATTTTAGCACCACCAGGTTCTGTTCAGCCAGTTCTTCATAACCTTAGTCTAATCAGTTTAAAATGTCAAAGAGCTAGGCGAAGATTACGTTTTTTGTGTGKATTTCATGGTTTGGCTGTATAAAAAAGAGCAAGTTATTTGCCACAAAGTTTTCACATAAATTTGATTCCTGAAAAGTCTGTTTGCTGTTTTTATGATTTGCTCACTTTAAAACCACATATGTTATGGTAATGTAGTTTATCTCCAATATGTCAAAACACAAAAACATGCTTGGTTGTGGTCTGAAAAAGTGGAGCATGTACAGGGAAGTGGCGTAGCGAGAATGCAAAACAGGAGGCAAGGCAGGACAAAAGAAAGAATCTCTTTTCCCTATTACTAAATTTATCAGCGACAACGTGAGCACACAAGTGTGGTTGTGAAAGCTGGCGAGGCCTGGCGACTGGGTGATGCCAGAGGTCAGAAATGATGCAACACTGTCTGCTGCTGAGTGAATGACCAAAGCAACAATGTCCATGTAGTACAGATGAGTACATGCTGCTGGGTGCCAGCGTGTTACTGGCTCTTTGTCTCTGCCAACCTGGAACAGAGTGGCACAGAGGCCACGGCTTCTCTAAGCACAGCTCATTGTTTGTTTATATCAATATCTATCATCCTAAATACAATTAAACCAGACTAGGGCCAGGCCTTTATTTTCTCTGCTGATGCTGATAGGGATAGCTTCTTCTGCACCTGTGATGGAACTAACAGTTTTAGGTTTAAGCCAGTAATTCATGGCATATTTTAATGATCTAAGTTTTCATGACATGCTGTTTATCAGCAGATAGAATGATTAAAGTCAGAACAAGATTTGCTAACAACAATCATTCTTAGATATCACTTGTGTTCATCTTTGTGTTTTCCCTTGACCCAGCATTTYCTTAGCATGGAATGTTGCTTTATTAAGATGACATAATAGTGTTTGTTAAACAGTATAWATGAGACCTCAACTGCCTCAGTGAAGGAGAAGCAGGAGCAGAGAGCAGGGGGAAAGTCTGATGGTGTTCTCTTTGTTCCTGTTGTTGCAATAAAACTAAACTGATCATTCCAAATACCTGGGTACCTTCATTCTTGGACCACGTATTTCTGTCTTTGTTCAATAAATATTTCCATGACAGCACCTATTGTGTTTCTGGATCCATCTGTTGCAATATGTGTTACAGGCTTTGACCTTTACTCCTACAATTGTTCGCCAGACCTGTGGTGCTGCACAGATAGGGCAGTAATTGCCTAGAATTGGAACAGCCTCTCATAAAGATAGGCCTAAGTTGCGTACTTGCGAGTACAAACCTATATGCAAAACCAACCTTTGACCATTTCACTACCCCAAGCATGACAATTATTGATTCATCCTGTGCACTTACACACATGTATTACACACCCAGGAAGCACAATCTCAGTGTAGCCTCAGGCATTGAGTAGCTACAGCACMTTATTATCCTCAACATTTCTCAATAGTTCTGTGACTTACAGATATAAAGATTTGGAAAGGAAGTTGAGGGTGTGTATGTCCAGCTGTACAGTACATGCAGTCCCTATCTCCCACCAGATACATGTCTGAGCTGGTTTTGTGTTATAATAGATATTTCAAGCGAAAAAGTGGRAATTATGGTTTGTGGAAGTCTTTTGGTTCTCAGCTTGTCTAAAAGGACCCATCAATTTTGCAGCTCAACACCTTTGCTCAGAATGGGACACAGGCAGGCCGAATCATGCCCCRTGTGTGCAAGGATGTGAAGTTAATCATCTCTGTCTTGAGTCGAGTTCACCGAGGAGTTGACGGGGCTGTTTTTGAAGACAGACAGACCATAGCATAGAGTGATGAAAGACACCAAGTGTGAGTTAGATTGATGAGCCATTATGTCAAGGGAGATAGAGACTGGCATATGGCTCAAGTTGTTTCAATACTCTTTCCTTGTTTTAGAATYTTGTCAGTATTTTGTTATTCTCTATCTTTTTCTCCTGCTCAGTCAGTCTCATTATCTTTTTCTCCTCTCTCTTTCATCTCGCAGCCTGACTTGCCTGCTTTCTTTTGAAAACTCAGCAGACAAGCTCCTCAAGTTTTTCACCCCCCCCCCCCTTTTTTTTTTTGTTTAGTCTTGGCTTGGAGCAGTAGACTTTTGAAGGTTTCAGTTTTGCTGATAACCTGCAAAGTGGCTAAAGTTTTGGGATTTTTTTCTCCCCTGCTCTCATAAAAGGACAATAAGAGTTTCAGTTGAAACTGTGTCTAGTGTTGTTTGGACGGGTGGGGCATGGGGGAAAATAAAGGTGGGGTTTAGATGGTTTTTTTTTAGCCATTTAGGGATTGTAGGGTCACTGGAACCAGTGTTTAGGGAATATTTTTGGGAGGTGTTGAGAGTTGCCATGACAGTGTGAGTTTTGAACAACTTTTTATGGCTTGGATTAGAGTGAACGTTTGTGTGTTTTATGACTCAGAGCAATTGTAAACCTATCTGCAGCATGTGTTTGTTCATTTTATCTCTACATCTACTCTGAAACCAAACATTACACAATGCACACTGCTGCCAAGAAAAGTTTGGATTGAAAGATTTTGGATTTGGCTGTTTTCCAGACATTATTTTACCAAGCATAATTCTTGTTGAGAGCCTTATGTTCATGAAGTCCTCCATTATTCACAAGCCGTGTACAGGTGCGTCTCCTTCCACCTGTATTTCCTCGAGGCTGGACGTGAGACATGAGGAGTTGGGTCAGGCTGGATGTCTGCCTGTGACAAAGGGAACAGACAGTAACCCCTGTTTGTTTCCTGTTAGAGCAGATTATCACATTTCATTAGCCAGAGGTATAATTGATCTGAGTATCATGGGAGAGTAGCATTCTAATCTGGAACATAATGATTTCTGTATTTGTCCACATAAATGCCATAGTTAGATTCAGCCTCCCATAGAGCGTATTTCAATTAGCTTTTTAAACCTCTCTTAAAGCTTTGCAGACATTATTTGTAAAAAGAGGAATGCTAGGTTCAGGCTTGTAACAGGACGTCGTATGCTTCAGGGTTAAAGTTTGAAACTGTTACTTATTGTTCACCCTTTAAAAAAGCCACAAAAATKAAGTTAATGATCGTCTACCCTCAATCTGTTATTCAACTTGTGGTTAATTACTTATTGCAACGTTGTACAATCTGTGCCCTCTTAAAAATGTTACCTTTATTTTGGATGTTGAAATTTATGTTTGTTGCTTTCTTTTTGATAAGGGCTCCTTTTTTTAAAAATAAGATCTCCTTCCAAAAAAAAAAATTGCCTTTCCGGAATCTAAAATTCCTTTTGCATGGGATCATCCTTTCCAATCTACTCCTTATTTCCACTGATCTCGTTCTACGGGTTTAATCTTTGAGTCATGCTGTCATTTGTTCTGAGTGTGTGTTGTCACGTTGATATGTACTGTGCGATGTTGCCATATCAGATTGCTTCTGAGGAGTGTTTGTGTTTGGCATCTAAACAGCAAAGAGTGATGGTGGCGCGGGGCAAACGGGTCAGCAGCAGAGGAGGGGAGGGGTGAGGGACTTGATAAGAAAGGCAGGAATTCTTCCGGCTSGAAGATGAAGTCAGTGCATTCCTACAACGTTGCTCCCAATAGGCAGCCAGTGGAGCAAAGCCATGATTTGAATGAAAGGCACAATAATGGTGGTGTTCAAAGCAAAAACACCTCCCATTGAGAAACTAGAGAGACAGAAAGAGAGCACCATCTGTCTGACTGAGTGAAGAGTTCTCATTTAGCTACATGGGTTACAAAATTTCATTTATTGTGCCAAGCTTAAGAGACCGCCTAAAGCATTTCACATTTTTATATGCTCCACAGTGATTTATTGCCTTGTTTTGAAGTTTAGCTTTTAAAAGTACAGATGGAGGGGGAGGAACAAGCCTAATGATATTTCTTTAGGTTAAACCTGCTGCTCGGCTCTGTGAAGTCTGCCTGGCTCCAGTTCTGGTCCTGTTGAGGCCGGTCAAACACACAAGCTGGTCCTGTTGTTGCCTTTCTTCACCCCAAAYACACACAGACACACACTTGACTTCCTCTGCTTTCCCTGTCAGTTCCCCTTGGCAATTAGCTATCATAACTGCTTTGAAGGAGGGCAGCAGAGCGTTTAATTGGGTTACAGGTTGGCATTTATGTACACAGGTCTACCAGATACTGTCAGGGCCTTACCTAAACTTTATGACCTTAACAAAATGTTGCTTTACTGTTCTTGTCGCCTGCTAGTCTTGAAATTTAGAATTACAATGCCAGTCCTWAATGTGACACATTTTTTGACGTCAGCACTGTTTGGTGTTCAAACTGGTTTTAAAATAAAATGACAAACGTAAGGTTGCTCTGAAAACGACATTTTGTTATAGTTTTCAACCAGTTGTGTCATATTTTGGAAAAATATTATCACATGAACAAGTCTCTTATGTGTCTCTCTGTTCTTATTTTCACAGACGGTCATGCGGCGGTAAGCTGTACCACGCCAACCTGAGCTGATCGGTTTTGAGGATCRTTCTATACACCAAATTGTCTCCTTTGGTCCCAAATGGAGCTGAAAGTGTGGGTTGACGGAGTGGTGCGAGTTGTATGCGGCTTGTCGGAGGAAACTTCCTGCCAGGATGTTGTCATTGCTTTGGCACAAGCTATCGGTGAGTATTTCTTTCTTAAATGTTGCTGTTTCATCATATTGTGGTTTTTGCCTTTAGCTTGTTGTTAATTGGCACCTTTTAGCATTTGGCAGTTTCCCTATAAACCTTTATTGATCAGATAACAGTTGTTTAGCAGCAAAACCTTGATACAGACATGCACGAATACACACCAAGGTCATGTCGAAGAGTTATTTTTCCTCTTTTTTGCTCCTCACTGACTCAAATTAGGTCCTCTGCTGGATCCTCTGTAGGTCAGCTTGGATTTCAGCAAGGTCTCTGTCCCTGTACCAACATTTTTATACAAGCCACATGCTGCAGCACCGTTAAAACGGCATAACTCCAGATTTAGATTCTCCTTCTTCCACGAATGAGCTTGCTGCCAAGTCAGTAGGGAGAATTTGCCCTAATTTTGAAGTCCTTATGGAAACTTCACTTTACCTAAACATTTATCACTTGTTGTGTACATCTTAAGGATATATAGTTTTGTTTCCAGTGCACGGCAACAGACATTTGAATGAGTCAGCAACAAAATTAACCTGAATAAGACATTGTTAGTATTTTGTAGTCACCTTTACTCAAACAGATTATATTTGAAGTAATTAGGTTATGTATAGACATTTAGACATCTTAATCAGAGCTCACATTACATTCTACACCAGGGCTATTCAACTGGTGGCCCGTGGGCCACATCCAGCCCAGCGAGTGACCAAAATTCAGCCCGCCAATTTGTTCATTCATCTCTTAAGCTCAAACCCCCGGGTTTCTACTTTAATTACTCTAAGTTCTTTTAGTTAAACATAGACATGTTTGGTATCTACAGAAACGTCAGAATCCAAGCTACAAGCTGGTAAAAACTATTTCTATAAACAAGACAGTTAAAACTACAAGCAGTTGATGATAAAATGATGAAAGTAAAAATAAAATTGTTTTAAAAATTTGGTTAGTTGGAGATGTCAAAATATTATTTGTGTCAATAGGAGGCAGAATGTGTTCCTTTTGTTTTTGATAATGTGTAATTATCACTAGGGTTCTGTATGTTGTATTCATGATTAAATGCAGCAAAATAAACTAATTCAAAGGTAACAGATCTTTGTAGTACTTAATTTATTTACATAATAACTCTAATTGCTGGATGTTCGGCCCCTCAGCTGTTGACCGGCAGTAACTGTGGCCCCCCGGAGCAATTTAGTTGAATAGCCCTGTTCTACACCTACTTCTTGACTAGTAATGCAGGTTTTTAGCTCCAGATTTGTCACATTTGCCTGTTTTTAGTAACTTTGGGATTCTTTCATAAGAACCCACTTGTTCGGTTTGTTTTTAAATATTTTTTCTGTCACAAGATGTGTCAACACCAGCTTCAGCAGTATGTGCAGAATAGTATGGCTGCAGGTAAAAAGAAGACATTTTGAGGGCAAAAGATTAGTCAGAGTAATGATCTCAGTTTCGTGTGATACGGATATAATCGAGGTTTTGGTTGACTGCAAACATTACTGATGAAGGCAGTGAGCTGTAACATACAGTAGATGTGACTCATTACTTTAGTTGTATAACATGTGAACCAGAACAGCCTAATTAGCATATTGTTTTAAATGTTAGTCTTTGAGCAACTGTAGGAAGAAGAAATACCCCATTCACAAAAAAATGTGTTCAAATTTATGGGAAAACTCTTGCAGATGTTTTAACTTGAAATATTGAAGCGTTATASTCACTGCTTTTTGTCTTTGTCTCAGGTCAAACAGGTCGATATGTTCTTATCCAGCGTCTGAGGGACACAGAAAGGCAACTTCTAGCTACAGAGAGGCCTTTGGAGTCTTTGGCAAAGTTGGGCCAACATGGCAACGAAGTTCAGTTTGTCCTGCGGCGAACTGGCCCTAGCAGTAGTGACGGACCTAATTCAAAACAAGAGAGACCCTCTCCCGTTCCACTACCCAAGCAACCTGAGCCAGAGCCTTTGAATCGGACCCAACTTAAAAAAGCCCTGACCTTTAACTTGGGACCATCAACCTCGCCTAAAACAAAAACCAAACAGTTGAAGAAGGCTCCTCGGGACTCCACAGAGCAAAGAGCCTCGCCATCCTCTTCACCCACTCCTCATGTGCCACCCCCTGCTCCATCACCACCTGTTAGCGCTTTGAAGGAGGAGGTTTTCAGAAAAGTACTTCAGCAACAGGAGAGACTGAAAGCCCTCGGAGGCCAGCTCGAAACCGTAGAGAGAGAGTCACGTACCAGGGATCATTCTTACCCTTCTCCATGTCCCTCACCAGTCTCTGATGCACGCCTTCAAGAAGAGATCGGTGCTTTGGAGCAAGCAATGCGGCGAAACCAAGCTGAGCTTGCCCACGAGCAACGCTGGGAGGAGGATCTTCAGTTAGAGATGGAGAGGGAGCAGGGAATGAGGAGGAAGCTGTCAGAGCTTCATTCCAAGCTGGACGACTGCGGACGGCGGCTTCATGAATTCTCCATTCGCTCCGCTCAGCTGGAGCAAGAAATCCAGCTAGAGAGCCAGGCAGTAGGGAAAACCAGTGTGGTCAAGGAGTCGCTTGATGCTGTGAAGGAGGAACTGAGGAGCCAGGAGAGGCATGGGGTAGAGCTGGAGGAACATCTGTCTGAGACTGACAAAGCTCTGGGGAAGGCTGAGTCTTTGCTGCAGGTAAGGAGAGAGGTCACAGTTCTGGAAAAATGGCTGTAAATCCACATCAGCTCATGTCAGTGAGGGACATAGACTAGACTCTTTTACATTACAGTAAACTGTATCCCTCTCCTACCTGCATAATGCAGCAGACGACACAAAGCAGTTTTAGAGACTTTGAACAAAATAAAACTGAATTCTATAAAAAAGCCGATTTATTATGGCTTTGGGTTGACATGAAAGTTGCGTGCTACCCAATCAAATCCTGGAAATATTCTATTTATACTCTGGCAAAACTAGTTTGGCAGGTTTAATCTTGGATACATTGCACTGAATTAAAGTCGTGATTTGTAACGATGTTGACACTGACATACATATTGATGTACTTGTGTTGAAAACAAAATTAAAAAAAGTTGAAATAAAAAAGCCCCTTTTATTGAATTTATTCAACCTCAACATGTTGTAGTTTACGAGGTGATTATTTGTTGATTTTAGTGATTCTCACAGACGTGGGAGTCTTTAATAAAAGCCAAACCTGGTTTACTTTGAACTTCTTTAAAAAACCCCATGAAACCCAGAACCTTTTTGTTGAGTTAGTTCCAGCTGAAAGACTGAAAAAATAAAAGTGAACTCATAGTGCACTCTAAAAAACAGATGTGTTGTAGCAATTTTCACATTTACTTTTTAAAACATGGGAAAATTGTTTTACATTTACTCAGCTCAGTTGAGTAGAACCAGTTGACATAACTTGGTTTAAAAAGAACAACATATCTTTTTTTTATTGTAGAGTAAAAACCAAATTGTTGAGGTTGAATGTTTTGTCGAAACTGGGCTGCAGGGTTGATAAAAACAAAAAGATCTTTTTCCACCTTAGTGAGCATTATGGGATGTGTTTAAATGCAGGGGAAATCCAATATATTTTGTGCTCCGTTTATAGGACAAAGAAAGAGTGTCATGGTTAGTCAGAGACCTACTTTTTTTCCCCCTTTTACAAATAATCTTGATACTGAGTAGAGTTGCGACATTTTATTTCCAGACTTGCTCTCAGAAATATGACGTAACTAACACTSTAGCTGTTTAAAAYGCAGAAAATAACCATCCAAACTGTRACAGCCTTACAGTAATTGCATAGAGAGTTTAAAAAAGGCCCTAGTTTCCTGTAAAATTAAGTAACACTGGTAACATGACACTGGGTCCATTGTGACAGAAAAGGGTCTGTGTCAGTCATCAGCCAGTGAATGAGGGGAGACAGCCAGCCGAGTGCTTAAACGTTGGTAGTGATGAGCACAGCGCTCCTGTCGTCTGGCTAATGGAGGCAGACCTGCAGGTGCGAACTGCCTCAGCAGGTTTCCTCTGTCCAGAATCAATTATCCAAACAGATGCACGCACACGGGCACAGTGGAAGGGAGCGCTAGCTAGCTCCTGCTTGTTTTAGTTCTGTGTGCGGACACACTGACCAAGAATAAATGAATAGTTGATTATTGCAGATTGACTTGCCTGTTTGAGAGCGTTAGACTTTACTGTGTGGGTGCAAAGCTGATTGTGTCTCTGGAATATTTTTGAACCTCATATTGTCATAAACGGTAGCTAATAGATGTATTAGTATTCATGTTTAAAAATGCCACATGGTGTTCATCTCATGGTAATTTAGTCAAACACAGTTACCTGATAAGCAATAATCTTTTTCAGACTTGAGACAAGACTTGTAGACAATGCTGCCCCCTTGTGTTGAAAGCTGTGAAAAGCTGCTCATTTAAAAGCTTTAATAAATGATAATAAAAACCACAGAAAAATATTTGTTCTGTGAYTTACCGGTAGTCTGTTTGCTTTTTGATTTCCTCGTTTTCACGGTCRTTTTGTTTCTACCTCAGGTCAAACAGGAGGAGTTGGAGGACTTGAATAAGGAGCTGAGGCAGTGTAACCTGCAGCAGTTTATCCAACAGACCGGTGTCCTGCCAGCACACACACACTCGCGCACAGAGCTGCAGGAGCACATGGAGCAGTTGGAACTCGCAGCCGGTATTTCAGACTCGACACATTTTGTTCTGTTAGAGACTTTGAGACGTGTTGGCTGAAGAGATTGTACTTATTTGTTTTTTTTTGTTTGTTTTTGTTTTTTGTTTAGGCCGCAGCGCGACTCCTGTGGAGTTTCCAACTCGCCCTACTGCCAAACAGTTCCTGGGTCATCCGCGGAACCTGCAAAACCCTCTAGTGTCCAGTCTCAACCCTGAGGGTGTGTATGTGTGAGACCCCCGCTGCTTCACGTCTTCCTCCCTGCTCGGCCCCAGAGCCCCTTGCTCCACCTTTTTTTTTCTACCCCAGCTTGATTGAGCTAAAGGCTAAACCTGTCAYTTAAGGTGTTGGGAACTGGAAGCATCTGTACGGTGGTGGGCTCTGCTACCTTTAATTTCCCTTTTAGCAGTTTTTCTCTGCTGATTCCCGTCCCTAGTTTCCACARACTTCTTTATTGTCTCTTTCACGTCACTGAATGCCTTAATTCTCCTGGGTTTATTTCTCCATTCGTGCTCTCTCTACTCCCTGTCCTCCTCGTCTCTCAGTATTTGCTTCTGGCCTAACTGTAGCTGCTTTTCTTATACTTTAATGCAACGTGGGATTTGCMGCTAATCCCCCTCCTTTGTAATTCAGAGTGGCCTTCCCACCCTCAAATAAAAAAATAAACAAAATCAACCACCGACAGCTGCTCCTTGCTGTATCCCAATGCAACATTTTGACTGCGCTGCAAATGACTGTGGCACATGTTCTGATTGTTTGTTTGCATCCTGGAACATAGGATTTATTAAACCAATATTTCAGTTTGCCTTTTAAATGTCTGGGTACTGTTTTCCATGAGGGTGTGTGTCTGCACAACGCCTTGTACTTTGGTGATGCTTGACTTCCAAAGAGCAAGAGCCTTTGACGCTGGGTTCTGCAAAATGTTTTGCACTGTTCCCTCCTCCTCTTGTGTGAAGCCCTGGTYCTCGTGTGCCTACCAGGAAATGTATCATTTTCCTCTTAATTCCCCTGACTTATTTTTGCCAAATTGTTTTGTTAAATGAAGATACATTTCACATGTAGAGCCACAGATCCATGGTTTATTTTTATTTTATTTTGTTTCCTCTGGGATGGATGTGCCTGGTTCTTTTGCTGTCATCACACCTGCCCTTTGACCTGTCGTAGCTTGCTTTGGACTGTAAACTTAAATACGTTTACAAACTATTTCTTCTAATAATAGCAAGAAATTACCAGTCAAACCTCTTTAAGCTGTATTTAAAAAATGTCATTTTACAGTAAATCTAATTTCACTGACAGGTCAAAGTGGCATGTRTTTTAGTGTGCACTTCCTTTACATTTGCAGTGTTATTTTAATACAAAGTTTCATTTTGGATACTGTGAATCCTTGAAAACCACTTGTTTCAGCACAGTTTTGACTTCAAGACTATATCTTAATTTGCAAACTCTGTGGAATTAATCCAGTAACTAATCTTGTGTCATCTTGTGATTTTCACCATTCGTCAGTATGGTTTTGTTGAATCGAGCTCTCTTTGTGTCGTCTCTTAGCTGATGAGTGTTTTTCTTTTAGAAACAAAGGGATCATCATCCCCACTTATTTTTGTGTGTCTTGCAGTCCTGACATCCCGAGAGTCGTCCTGGAGATAAAACATGGAGCGCAGGGCCAAGGGAAAAGTTGTTCACTGTTCTGTTGCCATCCTCTTATTTAACCTTTTACATTCTAACCATTCCATTTGTCATTCACATGYTTTATATAAATAAGACAAAAACTGTATATTTACAGAGTTTTGCTGCTGTAAACATTTAAATGATCTGTATGAATTGTAAAATAATTTAGGAATCTTTGACTTAATAGATTATTGCTATTACTGTGTATTTAAATACAATAAACTGTGCATTGCATTTTAGATCTTTCGAGTGATTTMTTTTACTGAACTGATAACATCTTCCTTTTCAGATACAGTGCAGTGATGTAGTTCACAAGTATACACTTAGTGCGTTAATGCTCTGATGGGAAATGCATTTTGCATTAGTTCAACTAAGAAAGGCTTGCACTTCTCTCAGCGTTTTGAGGTCACGTGAGGATTTCTGTACATTAAATAAATCTGCTTCTCAAATCTGTGCAGTTCATAGACGACAAAGTGCATCAAAGCATGAAATGAAGCAAACATCCTGGCGTCACAGCTGCTGGTTTAAATGATGTCGCAAGAAGTGATGGCAAAGAAACAAAAACACAATCTTGATTTCYGGTTCACGTCACAAATGTACTCGAAATTCTGTTTCAGTTCATGTCTTACAGTGTAGAACGGGACAAAACATGAGCATGTCTCTTAAAACACTGAAAATCAAAGAACTCTGCGCGACGGATTATCATCTGCAACCAAACACCATCAAAGTCCAGGATAGATACGAACCCAATTAGGTCCTGCACATCAGTAGTTTCATGTTAGTTTACCCTGGAGAGTAAATTTGCTGCTCGCCACACTTTGAGTGACGTGAACCTCCCTTGTGACCCCGGACTGATACCCAGTAGGCTTCTATAAATACTCATTGGCTGCCACTTTGGCAGGTACATTTCCAAGGAAAGCACATCATATTTCTTTCTAATCATGTTCACTGAATGCTGCTGTCACAAATTGATTTAAAAGAATATTTTCCTTTATTGCATTGTAGTTAAATTGTGGGCCGTGTGCCCATGTTAGGAGGTATATAAGACAGTTTTAATATCATGATTAACTGTGTGAAATTGGATTAGAACGGTCTGGCTTTGCAGGGGTTAGATAAGCTTCAAAACCCTTGTTTTGTTCCCACTGTCTTCCCACAAGATCAAAGTCTGGTGAGAAGAAGAGCACGACGCATGCGTCCTCGTCTTCTCCGACCAAATCTAATTGATTCTTTTCATTGCGCTCCATCACTGGAGTGAAAACCATCACTTTCAGACTCAGTTTCAACATTTCCAATGGTCAAAGAAGACTTTTATTTCCTAACGGCACATTAACAAATTACAATGACTGTCCAGGATGCTGTGCCGGTGGGATTAATTTTGGATAATAGAGCAGAAATCCTCAATGAGTTCCCAAATCTCATAATGTGTTCTTAAAATAAATAAATAAATAAATAAAAACGCCAATTGACCTCTTTTGATGAAAACTTCACAATACAAGACTCATGGGAAGTCTGGGAAATAACCTCCTCGTTGTGAATGCACATCTGCACGTCCCGTTTTTATGATGACAACAGGGACCGCAAAGTGAATGACTCTGACATGATAAATCTGTTCCTCTGTGTCCCACTGACTCACAGACAGGGATAAGATATCTGCATCCTGCAAAAAAAGACATGCATTACATGACAAAATGAACAAATGATGCAAGACATGGTTTGACCTGATACTTTACTTCTCATTTTGGACACTTACAGACAGATGTTGCACAAACTGTAATGATCATACCCTACAAATTGCAAATTAAAAGAAAGATAAAACACTAATACATTTCTACCCACCCAAAATTAGGTGACTTTATGTAACAAGTGCTAACAAACCCAGAGATGTCCTCAAGTAACCCTGCAGGCTTTGTGTCTTCAGATTACAGAGCAAAGAGAATTAATGCGATCCAAACCACTAAGAAGAAGCAGAAACYGAAACAAAACTCACCATCAGTCTTATTTAAGGGAGAAGCTGCTACATTAAGAGGCAACACTTAAAAACACACACACAACTCCTATATAAGGTACGTCAGCACAGTAGGAAGYTGGCTTCAGTACAAGTGGAGACCACTGGGAGGGCATTCATGTGGAGCAGCACTTTCCCAGCAGCCCTTAGGACATTATCAGGAACACTTTGTACATATAGGTGTGTGTGTGTTGTCCAGCTGCGGCTGGTCTGGTCTGAGGTCAGCCAGAGGGAGAGGAATTCCCAAAACCAGGTTAGCCGCTGTCACACGCACAGTGGAGCTGACAACTGGCACAATGTGCGTTAGTCAGTGGCTTACCTGCTTTTAGATCTCAGACACAACAGGGCCTGTGAAGCTGTAGAAAAAAAACGAATGATGTGTCATTAACTATTAATAGATCAAATACTATATATATATATATATATACAAGAAGAAAATATTTAAACATATATTCCCTCAGCACTGAAACAAACATAAATTTAATATGACTTCCTGTTCAGGATGTATTGATCAGGCTGTACAGTTAAATAAGAAACATCATCCTAATGTTATTCCTATACATGGCAGAAGTTTCCTTGTCCCCAAATTTACATAACAGTGACAACTGTGAGTGAACCTTGTTAAAACACTACATCCGAGATGCTGCAAGTGGCCTGTTCACAAGACACAGATCGAAGAACGAGGGCAAATATATCTGCTTACCAGTTCCAAGTTTTCTTTTAGRATATCTGCTGAAGAAAGAGAAAATAAAACTTTAATTTCTTCACACGTGCCTTTGAGCATCATGYATCCAACGTCCATATGTATATATTTTCTATTTCCAAGAATGAAAATGAATAAATGAATAAAAACAATATAAAATCTCAGCGCTTGATTAAAGTTCGGCACATTTAGAAATATTGTSTTGTCTACACACCGACGCAGAAGTTCAGTTCTCTTGCACTGCCCCTACCCTGCCCACTCTGCATCTGCAACCCGACCTGGTTATGCAAATAACAAACAAACTGAAGTCGCAAGCAACCAATGACATGCCGACTTTAAGTCCACCGTCCCGCCTCTTGATGGTAACTGACCTATGAAAAGCTCGCAGAGGCGGRATGTTCACGGACATCAGTTATGAAGAGTATCGGCGTTGTAGTTGGGGTGCGGTGCGTTCACTTCTGCACGTCGTACATCAGGAATGAACCATTACCTTGTTAACAGTTTCCTGTCCTGGTCAATRTTTACAGCAGATACCTCTGTGAAGCGGGCTCATTTRCCCTTAAACASACGCCATTTAGGGCGACTGTCGTCACTGGAGGCGGGTTGTGCGGGTTTTAAAGGCCGGTGGACTGCGAAAGCTGCTACCCCTACTCGTGCGAAGTGGTTGAACTCGGCTCGCTTGTGTACAGCGTTGCCATGAGCGGASTGTGGCTGTGCACGTACCAAGGATGCTGCTGCATGACAGCCTGGTCTGATGATGACGAGGAGGAGGAAGAGAGGAAGACGAGCGCTCAATTATTTAAGGAGTTCTGTTGAGAACTCGCTGACATCATTAACAGCTTTAATGACACCATTTCGTTAAAATACTAAAATATGAACATTGATTATTACATTTGAACAAGACATGTGCAAAAATAAATAAATATTTGGACATCATAAATAATTTCATGATAATTTTCAAGTTGGGTTAACGGGAATTATCCGTCTCTAAATGTAATTAGTTTGAATTTTGTAGCCATTAATTGGTATATTTTTTTATTTACATTTGTCAGTTTGATGGATTATTTTACGCCAGGATACACATAACCTCAAAACGAACCAGGATTACAAATTAAATTATGTAACAACAGATTTATGCGATTCCTTTGTTTTCCCACCAGAGGGCGATGTGTGCGACTGTGTTGGAAGCGTTTCTTTCAGGAGAACAAGTTTGAGATTACTAGGGCACATGTACAGTATTTAAAAACATTTACAAGAAATTAGGATTTGGAAAAAAATATGTTTGTTTTCTCTAAGTTGACTCATTACTTTATAATTCATGTAATAACATCAAAATGCACTGGGTTGTGTAGTAACGCAACATTGCTGTGAGCACATTTAAACAAGTGGTATGCACAATATTATTCTATCTTTGACAAATTAAAGATATCTCCTACATATTAAACATGTGAAATAATAAGGTACACATTTTCAACTTTAAACGAAACATGCAACATTGTATTTGCAAAAAAAACAGAGTTTACAAATATATGTTTTTAAACTTATAACTTATAAAGCTATGAATGCGTACTGTCTGTCTGTCTGTCTGTCTGTCTGTCTGTCTGTCTGTCTGTCTGTCTGTCTGTCTGTC